TTGATACCTCTACTAGGCAAACCTACAGAAACAGTAAAGGTTAGAATGAGTAGATATACGAACAGGATACTGTGCAAAAGAATGAGTGTTACTTTTGTAGATGGCAATAATTATTTCTATTAATAATCACTCAAAGGAATTAGAAGGAAGGAACAATAATATAATTGACTTATTTATATTTTCAAGGTACTTAAGTTCCCTTATAAAAACTAAACAATCATAGGTGCAAAGAGAGGGGGTCCTCTTATGAATGAAGAACTATATTAACAAACAAAACCCCAAAAGGTTAAAAATAAATATTCAGATTTTTCAGTGAAAGGAGGTCACCACAAGAATTCATCCTGTTTTATTCAGTCATATACAAACAGTGAGAAAGCTGATGGTCTTGGTTTAGTAAGTTATCCATTGTAACAGAAATCAAAGCTGATTGCTGAAAACTGTACCACAGTATCAAAGTATTAAGTAGTTGAAAAATAAAATGGCAGATGAAGTTCAAAATAGGTAAATAAGTAATCCATGTGAAGTATGATAATAATTAATTGTGCATAGTGTTATAAGTGAGGGGAAAAAAAAAAATACCTGGAGTTACCACAGACAACCCTATGAGAAAACACCAGTGGTAAGCCAAAAAACAAACAGAATGTCAGAACGTGAAGGAAAACACTGAAGGGAAAAATGGCACAAGTGTACCATCCCTGAAGCCTTCGACACAAATCCAGAAATCCCTTATGCTGTGGTATGAAATCTTTGCATGCTCGTATCTTAAGTGATGCACACTATTTAAGTCTTTCCTCTCTTCTGCCCCCAGTTCCTCTCCCCCCATCAGAAAAAAGAAGGTATAGGAGAACATTAAAAATTACAGAAAAAGAGTATTGTTCTAATTATCAAGGGGACTAAACACACTCAGACTTTTTATTTAGCCTGAAAAGGTAGAGTACTTAAGAAGATGCTAGAGAGTTAAAAGTCAAAAATGGTATGAAGGTAAGTAAAAAACAATTTTCTATTATTTCTAGAAATAAAATAACTAAGGTAACAAATTAAATCATTAGGTGTCAAGATTAAGAACTGTCCAAATGACACAAACAAATATGTGGTTAAGCTGTGGAACTATTGTTACATTATGATGCAGATGTCAAAAATGTAGATGAGTTCAAAAATATTATATAAATCCTTGAAGGAGAGGAAAGTATACCAAGTGTTGCTAAACAGAAGAGAAACAGACACCAAACCGCAGGCTGCTGCAAGTTCACTAAGGAAACCAGCATTATATGCTTATCCATGCCCTTGTAGGGTCTCCTAAAGCCTTCATGAGATGGAAATCTGAACCAGTTGGACGTTTTGTTCAACCTCTATAATTATCTTCACATTACTTTCTCAAAGAGAATGTTCAAATATCTCAAAACTGTAAATACACTAGACAGGGCACACTGTCCTGATGCAAGACACTCAAATTCAGTTGGTCTTTAAAAACACTACAGCACACATTGCTCCCAGTAAGTGATTACACATAACTCCAGATTTTTCCTGTTTGTTCCAGGCACGTAATAGAGAGTTTTAAATTATCAAATGACATGGGGTCT